TAGCTTTATAAAAATGCACCCTCTTTTGGCTGCTTTCAGATAAGCTGATTTTCATCTTATTAGTGCGGAAATAACTGGGCGACTGACAGAGCTGTGTCTCCCAGGCCCAAGGTGTGTCCCTGTCTCTTTCCTTCCTGCAGCCCTCATCCTGTCCTGGCAGTGCCAAGCCAGAAGGGAGCGCACCCTGGCACCAGCTTGCCACCCCGCCCCACCATGGAGCTGCCCCTTGCTTTACTTTTCAGTTACTGACTTTGACCGCCCAGGGAAGTCCCACTTCTTGTTTGCTGTGGGTTCTGGAGGCAGGAGCATGCCAGGAGTAGCAGATGCCACACATATAAAACTTTATTTTCTTCCCCAAAAAGACCTAAAAATTCCAGAAACTTCACTACAGCTTCTTTTGGTAAAGAGGAAAATGTAACATAGAGGCAGGTCTTTTCTTAGATGCCATGTAAGTGTTCTGGTTCCTGAATTATGATGTAGTTTTAGTCCCGTGGCTTGGGTTCCTTAAAATTTAAATACCAGCTTTTAAAAATCAATACAGAACATTACATGTTTACTGTGGAATAACACATGACTAAAATCTTGTGGTTGCATCATTTACACGGTGATGCATGAACACCCTGGAGCTTACATGCCTAGATCTTTTTAACATGTGTGTATTTTTTATGGAAACACAACTATTTGCAACTTACACTTTGTTTTCTCTGAAGTTTTAATTAAATAACATGTATGACACCATTAATAATATTAATGTACACTTTAAAGTTTAGTGGCCCCAAGAGCATTCTTGTGTGTAAAGGTACCACAATTAATCCTTCCCCATTAGATGGACATGTAGATTATTTCCAGTTTGGGTGCTCTTATAAAGAACACTGAATTGGAATCTTTGTGCGTGTCCTTGGCATTTCTTTCATAGTGTTTAGTTGGTAGAATCTAAGGCGTAGGATGATAGCATGGTTTCTTAATGCTCATCAGGGAGAGAACTGGAATTCCTCTTTAGCTCCAAGAAACTAGGACTCCCCTGTAGGAGTCTGGAATTCTGCAAGATTTTGGGCGGTATGTACCTTTCTCTGGGGTGAGGGTCTGTAGCTTTTGGATGCCCCAAGAGGGCTGGGACACAAAATAGATCAGTGACTGTTGTTGCGACCAGGTTTCCTCCCATGTCCTCGTCCTGGTGCCTCCCCAGACCAGCTGCACAGACGAGGAAGGCAGTGTTTTACTCCAAATGTTTCGAGCAACGTACAAAGAAGACTGTGAGTGGTCCCTTAGTGAGCTCACTGTGGGTGTCGGGGTCTGGCCACGTGACAGAGGACAGCTGTTGGCATCCCTTGCCTCAGCACTCCTTTGCTGTAAGAGATGGACCCCAAAGCTCATTTCTTCTTGAGGCCCTGCATAGTCCTCCTTTTCCAGTCTTCTACCCTCTGGTTGGTGATGGTGATGGTGGTGAAGAAGACAATGAGGAAACGAGGAGGGACCTTTGTCGGGGGTTGCTGTGTGCTAGCCTGTAAGGAAGCATTACACATTATCCTTGTTTATTATGAGGACAGAGAGGATAATTCACTTCTTCAGGGTCACATGGGAATTTGGAGAACTTGATTTAGAGCCAGCAGTTTACTTCCACAGCCCGTCCTCCTAACCTCCACGTGCTGCCTTCTCAGTCCACCAAGTTGCACGTGCTGGGGGTGCACTGGTCACCTGTTTCTGTGGCCAGGCCTTGTGTCTCTCCACTTCCATGCCTGCTCCACCAGGCCCTTTCCACCAAGGCTGCCCTCTTTCTCCTCTTAAGGAAATGACACCCATCCGCCAGAAAGCTTTCTTTGTTCAACCCACGGAAGCAAGATCTATTCCTTTTCTTCACTTCTGGATTGTTTGCAGCTCACACATGACATTCATGTCTGGCCCTGGGATGGAGGAGGCCCTCACAGGGTGGAAAGAAGAGGACCTTTGACCTCAGAGGTTTGAGTTCAGACCCCAGCTTCATGTGCCACTTACTCCTTAAGGGTCAGGTTTCCTCTGTGGGGATAGTAGCACCTGTCTTAACAAAGTTGCTTGAAAGGATTAAATGAGATGAGCGAGTTTGGTGTCCTGCTTGGCAAACTGGGCACTCAGGAGCTGACCGTGATGACCCAGGCTTTCAGATCAGATGGAGGGTTTTGGCTTTTAATTACCCCTGCAATCTGCTCTCCCCAGAGCCCCTTAGCTTTTTCTTACCTTTATAAAGTAGTTCTTCCTGCCTCAAAGATACAGCTCCACTCCCCCTCCCCTAAATTTCCCCGGCAGCCATGCTGGATTGTGCTTGCCTCCACAGCCACATGCTGCCCTTTATCTCAATATTGTCATCTAATTGTCTTCTGGGTCCATTGTTCCCACTCAGATGTGAACTCTTCAAGGGCAGGATGGCTCCTAGCCATCTCTGTATTCCGGGTCTAACGGGGTACCTGTGTCCAGTTACTAATGAGATGGAAAGGAAGAAATATTTGGGTCACATTGGAGATGCCAGTCTATGGTGTGTGACTGCACCTTCTCTGGCCTATGGGGGCTTCTTCAATGGCAGCTGTGTACAGGATGGATTAATGTGCAGAGGAGACTGGGAGGGGGTGTTAATCTGTCAGTCTGTCTTGCATCATGGTCTTGTTTGGAAATGAAGGGGACAACTGGGTGTTTTTTTATTTGTAAAGATGAAGTCCCCCCACTGCCACAGACTGCACAGCTTTTAGATGTAGCAATAGGATTTGCCTGAGAGATGGCAGCAGCATTTTCATGACATGCATCCTAAGCATTTGGAATAGCCTAACAGATGGTTTCCTGTCACCTGTGTGAAGGCAGTTTCCACCAAGAAATTCAATGCATCAGTTGTTATGATCTCTCTATGAATCCCACAATAACCATTTGTCATTGAGTTTTAAAGAACCCTGTTGTGATAGGGGAAGATGTGGGATTCTATTGTTGTTGAGTTATTGTAAGTTCCCCAAAGAGTCTTTGTTTGAAAAAGAGAGAACCCATGCTGCTGGTGGCATTAGGGTCACCTCCTTCTGTGGCCACAGGTTTTGTTAGGAATGGAGGAGAGGTCTTTGATGGGTTTATGGTCAGGAGACTCAGGATGCTTAAAGCCTGCCTCAAACCAAGGGTACCCACCCTAGAGGTTCCTGAGGGAGGTGTGCGCTGAAGAACACTGATGCGTGAGGAGCGGGGTCTCACCTGGCTGTTTGCCTGGTGGTACATTATGACTCTTAAGCTCTTGGGAAGGCTGGGCTGGGACAGATGGTTCATCCTCGGGGTTGACTGGGTCAAAGTCTATCATCAGCTGAATGTTGGAAGCAGCCCTGGTATGGACATGTGATGAAAAATGCTGATTGAGATGTTCCCTAACATATGAGGGTTGGTTGCGATCTGGGACTTACTATGGTCAAGGTCTTCGAGTTTGACTGGATCGGCTGTGGCTTTCCCCCTTGAGAGGTCTGCCAGCCTCTCCCTGCCTTGCAAGACATCAAAATATCTTTACACCACTTTGGCTGGGCACTTTGTGATGGTATTAGCTATGAGGCTGCCCCCACCCCCCTTGCTTATGAACTGGAAATCTCAGTAATGCTAGAGTGAGAATGGGGTGCCTTGAGAGAGCTGGACATGAGCCCTCCTGGACTCGGCTTCTTGGCTGCACAACGGAGATGCTAAGGCTGTGCTTGAGGGATTATCGGGAGGCCCAGAGTCATACCCAGGGCCTGGCGCCCACTTGCTCAGGCCCATCTGATTCCTTCCCGGTGGTGCAGTGCCCCTCAGTGCCCTGCTATGGAGGATGGCTTTCAGGCCTTTATGTGCCACTGGCTCTTGGTGCCCAGGCGGCCAGCCGGCTAGGATATAGCGTGAGCTCGGTTGGCCATGCCGGCGCCTGGGAGTTGTAGGTGGGAACCGTGAGCCATGAAGCAAGCAGGCAAGCTCGGGATCTTCTCCCTGTGCTGCGGTGTTGGAGAACTTTTCCTTTTAGGAGTAGTTTTGAAAATTGTATGTGTGGGTGCAGTTTAATTATAGTCTCATTTTTCGAGTGCTGCTGTAGAAGGGTTTGTTTTTTTCTTTAGCCATGCGTCAGTTTCTTCAAAGAGCTCATCCCGGTCTGCAATTTCCAGGGTTCTGAAGTATTTTAAAAATAAAGTTGTTAGCCTCTTTGAAATCTGGGCTCATGCTTCCTTTCAAACAGCAAATGATGACATGCAGGAATAGAGCAGCACGTCTTTCGCCCAGCAACATTCTGAGCTTTATTCTGTTTTCTTTTGTCATCCCCTTTCGTCCTCTCCCCGCTGCAGACAGTGGTTTTTTCAGCTCACTCGAGCACTCCTTTGCCCAGTAATCTTAGTTCTGAGGTCTTTCCTAGGAAATAATTTAAATGCAGATAAAGCTGCATGCACAAAGATGTTTATTTCAATTATTTATTAAAACGAAAATTTGGAGATGACCTAAATGTTGAATAGGGAACTGGCAAAAACTGCCAGACTATGACGTGTGTGCCATTAGGGCTGAGGTTTCTAAAGCAAATTTAGTAGGAAAAATGCTTATAATAAAGTACAAAGTGAAAAACTTAAGTCACTACAGCATCATCTCTGCCCAAATGCATGGAAGAAAGAACCAAAGGCAGCCCAGTCACAGGTCTATGGGCGTTCAGGAGGGCAGGGAGCTTTCTTGATTCTATTGTGCATTTCCTATAATGAGCTTATGCTCTGTTAGTATCAGAATTTTAGCGAAGGAAAAAGAATTACACCCAGTGATGCTATTGTGATTGCTTTTTGGATTCAATGCTGTGCCCTGGAACTAGAGCCAGACTAGTGATAAAGCAGGAGTCTCTTGCCGGCACTGTGCTCTTGCGAATCCCACTTTCAACATCTGGCTTGTTGTAAAGAGTGTTTAAACCAACAGGACAGTGCCCCTGCACATGTGTGAGCAAGAAATTATTAGGGATCACTTTTTTAAAAAATGCTTTCCTTCTTTCTTAATGTTATTTCTACTTCTAGGAAAATCATCTGGAGTGGAGCTGAGTCCCCAGAATGAGCCGATAGAGAGGTGAGTTTAACGTTTGTTAAGAAGACTTTCTGGGACCTCCGTTTGGGTTTGCCTCTTTTTTTCTTTTTTTAAAAATATTCTAGCTGCCTTCCGTTGTGTAAGTTTTCTGCTTCTTGTAACTAAAACATAAATACCTATAGAACTGTCTATGGCCGAGCAAAGTGAAGAGGCCACTCAGGGTGTCCCGAACCCTCCATTCATTTGTTCCAGGTCACTCCTGGTATTTCTGTCAGGGATTTGAATCAGATGACATATTGCTTCTGTTGGCTCCTGGGGCCTGCAGGATGAAAGTTCCAGACTCCCTAGCCGGGAATCTGAGCCCTCCTCAAGCTGACTGGTCCTCTCTGCTCCCTTCCACACTGTTCCCTTCTTGTCGTGTACCCCATGCTCTTCCATTGTCTCCCCCACCCCCACCATGGCTGTGCACGAACTGTGCCCCCTGCCTCCCTCCTCATGTAGTGTGAAAGGGGCTGGAGTGAACGTGAACCAGCCCTCCCTGTACCCTCCTCCACCACACCCGGGCCAGTTATTCCTGCTTCCTCTGCAGGAAGGCTCATTCTGAAGACTCTCCTGCTTTGTGTTGTGTGGATGCCCAAGAGCGCCCCAGCCCTGTTCTGATAGTTTTGGTACTTGGCATGTAATTGCATTACAGCACTTGCCTTTCCACTTGGAAAAGACCACTTGGTGTGTCTTACCTTTCTACTCCCAGAGTCCTCAGAATAAGAGAGGAGCTGACCAGCATTGCAGGGTATTTGTACGTGTCAGCTGCTGCCTTAGGTGTTTCACACTTATTACTTTTGACCCTACAAAGTGAACGTTTTTATTCCCATTTTAGGGTGAGGAGGCTGACAAGTTGCCTGTTTGCCATTGAAAGGCAGAGCTAGGATTTGAACTTGGGTCTTTCAGAATCGAACACCTGTGCTCTTATGGTTACTCTACATTGTCTTTGGAAGGCAGTGACAATATGTGAATTGTAGTCCTTTTTAGCTTGCCTCTGTGGCTGTTGCAAATGCCAAGGTCTCATCCTCCTGTTACTTGGCTCTGAATGCTATTGACACTGGAGGGGACCTTCTATCACTTTAAAGGATGTGGCCCTTTGGACTCCTAGGGGTAAAATAAAGAAATAGAGACAGTCTGGAATGCTGAATTTTAGATTTTATTGTCATCACCAAGGCCATCAGCATCCTTACAGCAAGCAAGTAGGAGGTTCACAACTCACTGGAGGACATTTTAATCAGGTCTTCTATGAATGTAAAAGATATACTCCTTCTCCTCCTGCAGTAGCGCCAGAGACCCCGCCCAGTTCACCCCACTACTTCCATCCTTAGGGTGGCAACCACTTCCCACTGGCAGGACGTGGAGAGGGTATGGAAGACTCCGTCTTAGCTGAGCTCTGCAGATTGAGAGTGAAGGGCCCAGGGCTGTTGGGAGATTGTCCCTGTCTGAGGGGAGGGAAGCTTGGCCCCTTTGAGCAGGGATCCTGGGTCAAGGCCTGAGAGGCAGGCTGGGCCTGTTGGTTCTCAGAGGCTGTTATTATGACTGTCCCAACACTCTTCTGCAGGAGGCAGGGAGTCGATGAGCAGGGCAAGCTGGGGCTAGACATGGCCAGATTCATCATTTTGGAAGCTGATGAGTTTGGAGAGTCTTTTAGCCTTCCTCAACCAGCGCTCACCCCTCTCCATTTCAGAGGATTTCTTCTTCTCCTTCTGTCCTCTCTTTGTCAGTGGCAGGCTCAGCCCTCACAAGGGTCACTCCTAAGCTAATTAAACGGCTGCCCTTGGCCCACTCTGTACTCCTGTGGGCCCACGGTGAGCCTGAGCATCCATCAGGCTGTCTGGGCAGAGCTGCATCTGGTGTTTACCTGCTAATGAATGCGTTGCAGCTTCGGAGTCCTCTGCTCTTGTCTGAGCTCATGAATAATGAGACTGTGGCCACTGACACAGTAATGGGAAAGTTGGAGAGAAAGGAGCTTAAATCAAGGAGCTTATCTATAATGGAGATTCACAGGAGCTTTTCACAGTGTTCAGGCTGATTTTCCTTGTGGCTTAGGTGGTCCTCAGGAAGTACTGGTTAATAACCACATGATTGCCAGAACCATGCCATTGGGGCCTGCTTGGGGACCTTGAGGGTTCTGAGATTTTTTAATCCATAATGCTGTTTCATGGCTTGGAGCCAGACAGGCCTGGTTCAGATCTGGGAGGTGCCACTTACAAACGGACAGTGGCTGGTTTATGCTGAGCCACCGCCTTTCTGGCTCTATGGAGGACAGCACTCCCTTCCTCAGAGGGGGCCAAGGAGGCCCAGGTCAGACCCAGGCTGCTTCGTCAGAGTGAACACTTGGGAAGCAGCTGCTGCGGACCCCTTTCCTCTCTTGTAAGCCAGACTTTGGGACAGCTACAATCCCTTCACTTTCCCTTCCTCCTTGGCTTCAGATTCAAGCACATGGAGCCCTTCTTGTTTGGGGAGTGTCATTGCTTAATGTAGTAAGGAAATGAAAGGGCTGACGGAAGTCACACACACAGGACAGTTCTGAAGGGAAAGTAACCTCGAGGGTTCTGATGTCACAGCCCTGCTTGGGGTCTTAGTGCGGGAAATGGTTTGTCTTTCAATCCCAACCGTTAAGGACTGAGGAAGACAACGTGGACTACCAGCGTCTTCTACCCGAATCTCCTGGGCCTTTCTCCTCTCATGTGCTGTCTGATGATGAAATATCCGAGAAGTCCTTCCTCTCCCGAGAACAGAAGCAAGACAGCGTGTCCGGGCAGACTTCAGTCATGGCAGACCATTTTTCTCAAGGTAAGCTAGCTTTATTAAGCCTCGTAAACGTGGCTGTGTTTAAACACTGACCCGCTGTCTCGCCCTAGTGGCTAGAGTGTGGTGACATTTGACTATTTCTCAGATGAAAGGAGATCCTGTGAGGGCCGGAGCTGGTCATGGAGTGTCATTTATCACCAGAGAAAACCGTGGTGGTGAAAGTGTGGGTGACTGGGAAAGGGCATGTGGTTTTGAGTGAAGACCTGCCCTGGACTTCCCGTTTCCTTGCTCCTGTAATCGTAGCGTGGAGAGCCCTGGAGCTGCAGCAGTGCGAGTTCGGTTAGTGCCCAGGGTTCCTGTCACTCCTCTGCACGCAGGCTCACTCTGAAGACTCTCTGCTTTGTGTTGTATGGATGCCCAAGAGCGCCCCAGCCCTGTTCCGATAGTTTTCTACAGTGCAAAGTTTGTGATTCTGTGAATCCACCTGTTTCTCTCTAGTGTGACCCTTGGCCCATTGGGCCGGGCCGTTATCTTAGTGCATTCAGTCTGTTGTAGCAGAGTACCACAGTCTGAGTGGCTCACAAACAGCAGGAACTTGTTTCTCACAGTTCTGGAGGCTGGAAGTCCGAGATCAAGGTGCTAGCCAGCATGGCTGGGTTCTGGTGAGGGTCCCCTTCCAGGTGGCAGACTTCTCACTGTATCCTCACATGAAGCCAAGAGAGCAAGAGAGCTGTCAGGGGTCTCTGTTTGGGGGCATTGATCCCATTCACGAGGGTTCCAGCCTCTTATGTCATCCCCTCTCAAGGGCCACACCTCCTAATGCCATCACTTGAGAGCTGAAGGCTTTAGCAGGTGACCTTGGAGACACAGACATTCAGCCCATAACACTCTTGTTCTGCCTCTGACCTTGGGCTGAGTTCAGCCAGCCTCCCTGGGAACCTGCTCTGATCTCCCGTTTGCTTTTTCTGTTCTTGTAGTCTCTCTCTTTGGGATAAGAAGTAGGGCTTTGTGTGTGTAATTCAGTTTGCTTCAGAGAGTCCAAGGATTATATAGACCAGACCAGATAGACTGGCCATCAAACTTCCTACAAAGGGGCAGGAAGAAGATGTTTTAGGCTTTGCAGGGTCAAGGGCCCTGTGGCAGTTGCTCAGCTCTGTTGTCACACATACAAGCAGCCCCTGATATGAGTGGCAGAGCTGTGTTCCTATGAAACTGTGTTGATAGAATGGAGATGGGCTAGTATTGGCCACAGGCAGTGGTTTCCAGCCCTTTGGTGGTATAGATTCTAGTTGTCACAGTCTCTGGTCTCTCTTCTTCTCTGGGGGTTGGTAAGAGTACCACCATGAGTTCTATAGCACAAACCAGACACTGGCACCTTCTTGCTAAAAGCTTTATTGATACTTGGTCACATAGGTCATTATTAAAAAAAAATTTTTTTTTGAAGCCATATGTAAACAACAGAACTCTTTTTTTTTTTTTTCATATGCAGTTTTACAGGATGGCCCCATTCAATATGGCAAAGAAACCCAGTGGAGCCTTTGCCCAGTGGTGGCCTCTGAGGCTCCTCTAAGACTTTGAGGGCCCAGAGGAACATGGTATAGATATACCTGGAACATGATCTGTACAGTCTCAGTGTGTCTCAAAAACCAGCTGGAGTCCTCCAGCAGCCAATTATCTGGACCTCATTTATTGGGATTTCTGCCAGTGTCCCTCTGCTATTTTTTTGTAAGTTTCTGAGTAGTTGATTCCTCCTGGTCATTTCTGGCTATAGGTCCTGCCTTTCCCTAGTTTTTAGGTCAGACTACAGATTGTTTCCCTGGCCTTAGTGTACCTTCTTCTGCGCTGTATCAACCCAGTGTGGGACTCAGTCCCTTTCCAAGAACCCCTGGGACCACTAGTCTGCCTTTGTGCAGACTTGATTGAGCAGGGAGGAAGCAGAAGGAAGGAGGTTGTTGCCTTGCAACCCAAGTAATGTCGAGTGGACTATGTGGGTCCTGCTTCCTTAAAGCCCTCCTGCTGCAGAGCTGGAAGGTGCCCTCCTCCTCTTGCCTGCCCCCTCTTTCTCCCTTCGCCCTGTCTCCCCTACCTGGTTTTGTTTCCATCGTGGAGCTGTTAGGCCTCTCTTCCTCTGGTGATTCATGCCCGGGCTCTCTGGTGTCCTCTTGGTGGATCACCAGGCAGTTCCTGGATGGAGATGGTGTTCTCTGGAGCCGTGCTCATGTGCCACTGTTGTCCCTCTTGGCCTGCCCGTCTCCAGCCTTTTATTCTCTGCATCTGGTTTTCATTTTGTCATGCTTATAATCTGTGGAGAGAGATCATTTACTATATTTTCTTTTCTCACATTCAGTTGCATCTAAGCTTCCTGACATGCTGTTATATAATGTCATTTTTCATGGCTTTAGAATAGTCCATTGAATGACTGAATTGCAGTTTTCCTTATGTTTCCCTGTTGCTGAATGTTTCAGCCGTTTCCAGAATTTCACAATTGTGAACAGTGCCGCCGGGAGTATCTTTGAACATGAAGCTTTCCCCTTATTGGGGGCATTTTTTTTTTAACATTAATTCTCTAAATTGGAACTACCAGGCAAAATGATACATGTAATTATTTATCTATCTATTTTTGGCAGTTGCTTCTTACAGGATTTATGGTTTTAAAGAGGTAGCATTTGTCAGAAGGATTTATTGTAAGAGATGTTTTTCTCCCATTTCGTGAAGGCCAGTGTAGTGTTTCCTTCTACCTTGGCTGCATAATTAATGATGGTGTCCAGTTCAACTGGGAGTGTTTTTTTAAGCCCTAGTGTTGTTTCGATTCCTGGCCAGACTCAGTGGAAGCTGACTTGTATCCATGGCTGCAGAGCACTTACCAGCACAGAGCCAGCAGTGAGTCTTGGTAAACCAGAGAAGAAGGTTGCAGTCAAAACGATAAGGTCCTGGCTGCCTCCAGCCTGTCTGGGCCCTGGAAGAAGATCTGCAGGGCAACCGGGCCAGGACAGGAGGTACAGTGCAGGGTGTGTCAGAGTGCGGTACACATGGAGTCCTTCAGAGCTGGGCTGCCTTGGGAGCTGCAGGCATCCACCAAATTACTTGCCACACTTCTGGCATTAATAGCAGATAGCTGAAGGTCTGGGAATTAAGTCATCTCATAAACATTCAAATTCATGGCAAAATTACTATTTAATTAGGAAAAGATCTGTAACATTGTGCTACTTTTAAATGAAAGCCATTTTGGAGGAATTAAAACTGGGTCATAACATTAGTATAATGTTTTAAAACAAACATTACTAAGACATACTGAGTGTACCCTAATTGATGAATTAAAGACATTAGTTTTGCCTTTGGATACTTAATGTGATTAGGTTTTAAACACTGACTCTAGAAACCTATCTCTAGATTGAAACTGGGCTTCCTCCTTTCTTTGTTAAAGTGATGTTTCAGAGGATGAAAACATAATACATGCCCATTTTAGGAAATTCAGGAAATTTAAATCTTTATTATTAAGTATTATCTTAAAACATAATGTAGAATTTTTAAAAAATCAAAAATCTCTCATCCTACGGTAACTACTTTCAATATTCAGTGTATCACCTTCTTTTGTACATTTGTCTTTTCTGTTTGGGAAGGTTTTATATGGAGCTGTGATCATGTTGAATAGCCAATTTTGTTTGTGTTTTTTAAAATTTTCACATGATAATATGATAATGATAACCCTTTCATAATATAGTATTATACAGTTTTCATAACAATTTTAATAGCTATGTAATACTGAATCGTAATGAATATACTACAGTTTATTCAACAATTTTAGGTGTTTCAGTTTTTACTGTTGCATGCTGCCAAGATGAATATTTTCATGTGTTCTGGAAAATGCTTGCCAGCATCTCTGGCAATTTCTTGAAATTGAGCCCTAGAAGTAGAATTATTTGGTAAAAGACATTGAAACAAGCTTCTCTGAGGCTAGTGATACAAATAGCCCCAAAAGGTCATATGCATTTATACTTGCACTAACAGGGTATATTCTTGAGATTACCCTTCTTGTAGCCATTCTCAGTGGCATTGTTTTGCTTTATTTTTCAGTCTTAAATTAATAAGTAATAACCAAATAAACACATTTCTTTAAAAAATTAGTCTCAAAAATATCTGGATTCATTATGAAGGTGGTTTAATCAACTCTCAGGCAATCTAAGCAGGCCTGAAAGTGATCTGTTGGTTTCACCATAAGGAAGATTTTAAATTAATATTTGATATTGAAAAGAATAAAAGGCTACATTAGAGTTAGCATTAAAATTGTATGGAATATAATTTCTTCGTGTGATGTAAAATTGCATCCTATTGGAGGGCCATAGAGAACCATCACAGAGCTGTGTCTGTGGGCCACGGACAATAGCCCAGCTCCCCAAGCCCAGGGCAGGATTGCCAGTTGCTATCTTAACACATCCGATACTGTTTGGAATTTCAAGATCCCTGCATAGTCTATAAATTATTCAATTTGTTGGGAGCTTCAGACTTTAAATTAAAAATGCCCTTCCTTCCTCTAGACTTACTAATGGAACACATACAGGAAATTCGAACTTTGAGAAAACGTTTAGAAGAATCTATTAAAACAAATGAGAAGCTGCGGAAACAGTTGGAACGGCAAGGGACTGAGTTTGATCAAGGTAAGGAAGGACCTTCTCACAGGGCAATGCAAACCCTGAGTGCTTCACATTTGCCCAACTGAGCAGTCTGTGGACAGTGATGTCTCCATCACTGCCCAAACCTGCCACCCCTATTCTCCTGAATTGTGGATGGCCCCTCACTGGACTTTGGAAGCTGTAGAGATGTAGATAGGTATGCAAGGGGAGAACAAGGCATATTTTGTCTTTTTGTCAATAACGGATTATAAAAATGTCAGCATTTTAGCAGTCTGGTAAATCTCATATGCCAATCAAAAAGGTCACCAGTATTCCTGTATAACCATGGTTAGCTCTGAGTGAAATGATCGTCCATGAACACTAAACATATTTTCCCCATAGGTAAGACTTTCACATAGGTCAAAAATTAGCGCTTCCATTCTACCTGTTAACACTGTCCTCTCTGCCCTGCCCCACACTCTTGTTGTTTTTCTTCTGTATCTTTCTAGTGATTTTTAGAATGCAAATACAAATATATATTCTTATTCTCCCTCTCATCCAAAAGTTAACATACTGTGCATCCACTGTTCTGACCCATTTTTCATTGAACAGTGTATGTTGACTTCTGTCCTTATTCTGCAGAGAGAGCCCTCATTCCATGAAGAATGTACCCTTAGCAGCTGGTGTTCTGGGAAAGGCCCAACCTGGGTGGAGATCCTGGCTCCTCTCTTTATTGCTTCATGGCTTTGGGCAGCTCACCAACCTCCCCACCTCCCAGTCTCAGTTATTTCACAAAATTGAGTCACTGCAAGATGAGGTGAGCAGTGCCCTGAGTAGGCTCTGCTTGTGCCTCACTCACTAAGTGGCTGCTGTCACCATTAGTATCTGTCTTATTTACTATTTTATTTATTTCATAATCTGACCAGTTTACCATTTAAACTGGTCCGGTGAGCATGGACCCTAATGTCATTCCCATTTTTAGAGGTGAGATTACTGACTTCGAGATAGTGCTTGATGGCGGCACTCAGTCCCCTGTCCCCTAGTCTACTTATCCTTCCTCAGTCACCCACTGTGGCCATCGGTTAAGAAGGACATCTTTTCAAAAGTACTTTGTATGCTCCAGTTCTCAAGGTAAACAGTGGTTCTATTACTTCTCCCTTTCCTTCCCCCCATTCACTCCGCCCCCACACTGCCTCCTCCCCTTCTGGCCCCCAGGGAAATTGATTATGAGTTATTAGTCATATCAAACTCAGGAAAGAAATACACGCCTGGGCCCTTCACATTTACTCTTGGTAATGCCTGAATTAGATTCATTTTGTTTTACATTTTCCCTGGAAAATCCAATTATAGAATTATTTGGGGGCTCAAATGGCCACCGGCTACAATGGAGCAGGCAATTGCTCTAGAGAGTAATTCCCTCTGACGGGTAGGTTTACAAAAATGCATTCATAAAGTATTTACGCTGGTGGAAAGACATGCTGTTCTCACCATGTTGTCACTGTCTCTGACAAGACAAAGAAATAAAAGGGGCCCCGCCTTCCCCTGCTGTGAAATGTTCATCTTGGGAGGAGTTTTGAGAAAGGCAGGAGTCCTTACAACCTTGAGGTGGAAGTTTCTACATGCCAACATCCGCTGCAGCAGAGCTTCCAGGTGCTGTTCGTTATCCAGGTTTTCTGTAGTGGTGACATTCAGAGGAAGAACTGGCCTCCTGGTCTCAAAGTGCACCCTGCTAGTTCCGGTTTGACTCTCAGATTTAGACTATTGGGAACTGGTCCATGGCCTGGCTGTTCCTTTGGAAAGCGACTGCCTTGACTTGGGTCACTGTAGACCTGGGTAGTTTTTCCTGCTTATTCATATTACTCTTCAGTCCTGTTTTGGCTCCAGCCTATCATTAATCGTGCTATTACTACAAATGGTAATAGCAGTAACTGTAACAGTACCAGTCACTTTTATTGTGCTAATGAAGACTGAGGGACCTTATGTGACTTGCCTGAGGTCTTGTGGTTATTAAGAAGCCAGAGCCATAGTTCAACCCAGGTGTCTCTGAAACAGCACCAGAGTTCCTGGGGGAGAGTGGAGAAGGATGGTGGAGAGAGATGTTTGTGAATTAAAAGGTTGATCAGTGAAAAATTAGCAGGAAAGGAGGTTGTACTGCAGAGAGGGGCGGGCACACGCCTCTCGAGAGCTCAGTGTCCTTCCTTATGAGGAGTGAGAGCATTAGAGGTCATCACTTGTACACCAGGGTGTTTTCCATTGCAGATAACAAAATATGGATAAAAACTGGTGTAAATGATGGGGGTTATGTTTTTTACACAAGAGATCCAGAGGCAAGTGGTTCTGAGGCAGGGGTTATGACTCAGTGACATCAACACTTGGAGATGGTGTCTGTGGTAACTATGGTGGTTATGAGGTTCCCATTCTCTGTGGTTGGTGTCTGAAGCATGGAAAGAAAGAGACTCAGTCTTTACTCTGTCTTCCTTTTGCAGTAAGGGGAAGTCCGCCCTGAAGCCTCTGAAGGTCTCGTTGGCCAGCAGAGACCCGTGACCATGTCTGGCTGCAGGGTAGCTGGGCAAGCAGGGGCTGGCATTGGGTTGCAGCGTAGCAAGTGGACTCAGTATGGAAGCCATGTGGACGAGGTGCCCTGCACACAGTAGCAGGTGCTCTCCCGAGGGGCTGAGAATGGGAGCACTGTAGTGGTGCAGACAAGGAAGCGCCGGGCATGGGGAGTGTCATCTAAGCTGGATGTAGAAGAAGGGTAGGGGTTCAGCAGTGGACGACAGCATGGTGAAATCTTCACAGTGAGGAGTGGCCTCCCTCACAGTTTGCCTAGCTTTTGACCCTGACCTTTATAGCATACACTCAGAGACTGCGAATTTAGCTAAGAGTTGAAGGTGTCTTTGTCAGATGAAGAGGGTGGTGGGCATCCAGGCAAAGAAGGAACCTCATTCTGCAAGGGGTGTGACCATATGGTGTGCCTAGGGCCCAGAAGTGGCCCCGTTTCACTGCATTTAAGGGCCTTAGGGTTCTGAATGGAGAGGGGTGCAGTGTGCCAGGAGACTGGGAAGTTTGGACCTTGTGTTTTGATTGTCTTTTGCAGTACTGGGCCATTAGAGGTTTTTGAGCAGAGAATTACAAGAAAGGATTGTATTTAGGATGACAACACCACGGGCAGAGGGCAGGGCGGCCAGGTCAGAGCAAGGCCTGAGGCCTGAAGGGTGGGGACAGGAGAGACACTTGGGTGCTTGGCATCTTGGGAAAGCAGCAGCAGCGTGTCTGGGCTCAAGCCGGGTCTTGTGTGGTACTGCCCCTGAGGCAGGGCACAGGTAAGAGAGCGGTGAAGGGGGCAGTTCAGCAGGGTGGAGGTCCAGCAGACCCTGGGTGCGTGAGTTTGCACTTTGGGAGGTTGAGACTGTCACCCACTCACCCACCCTGGCCCTGGCTCCTGGTGCATTCACCTCAGGGGCGGTAAGGCCTGGGTCCCCTCCTGCCACCTTTTCAGGCTCACTCTCATTTCCCTTTGGGCTCTGAAATAACTTGGATGCTTCTCAGGGCTGATTTTCACTGCATGTTTTGTTTCCTCAGTGTTCAGAACTCCTTTCCAGGAAGTTCTATCCATACTGACCTGGAGATGGTCCCTGAAGTGCTTCTGCTTGTGTTTTAATAGGGGCTACAAACATTTTGGCTTATGGTTCAGAGCTGCACAATTCTCTCACCTCAGAGATTAATTTCCTGAGGAAGCAGAACCAGACGCTCAATGCAATGCTCCTGAAGGGGTCTCAAGGTAAGAAATAGAGGAGCTCCTGCAGCCAGGGCCCCAAAGCCTCTATGCCAGGCAAAGAATGCAGGTGTTGGAGTTGGAGCAACCTAGGTTGAGTCCTGTGGCCCTGTGACAGCTTTACAGGGTGTCATTGTCACAACAGTCCTGTGAGATATTCCTATGTTGTGGCTGAGAAAAATGTGGTACAGGGAGGTTAGGGGATACCTCATAGGGTTGTTGTGACAATCAAATTGCATAAAGCCCTCAGCACAGTGTCTCTACTGTATTTCCTTGTCACTCATGCCCTCTACACAGCCACCTCTCATTTGTCTTGGTTCCCGGTGGAAGAGAAAGGGGCTGGGAATGGTTTACTCAACCAGAGATTTCCAACAATCAGCAAAGTTTCATCCAGTGGTTCTTAAAAAGACCCTCTTTTAGTTCTTTCTATATGGAGCTTAGCTCCTAAGAACCTGCCTTATGCTACATTTTAGCGCTTAAAACAACTTTGGAACGAGATATTAGTATCCCTGTTTTCCACATAAGAAATGAAGGCCCAGGGAATTGCCCTGCCAGCGGTCACAGAGCTAGACGGTGGATGGGGCTGGAACTTGGGCCAGCTTACCTGCTTTCCCCAGAGGATATTGATGTGATTTGGGTTTTAGAAATGAAGTTCGGGCTTTGGAGATCATTCATTCTGCAGACATCCCCCAACTCCAGTTCTGAGTCAGGGCCGATTACAGAAATCAGTGAGTCCTGGTCCTTCTCTCAGGCTGTTGTGGTCTAATGGGAGAGACATCCAGACATCCCACAGCAGGCCAGCATGAGGAATGGCCCTGATGAAGCCGGTGCAGGGAGCACAGGACCCTGAGAGACTGGTCATCAAAAGCCTAGTCTAGAAGGATGAGGAGGGGTTAGCCAGGGTAGCTCAGAATAGAGAACCGGGACCTTTGAAATGGAAGGGAGAGAGCAGGTCCAGCCCCGCTCAGAGGTGAGGAGCATACAGGCTGGCCAGGAATGATGGACAGCTGTGCCTGCCTCTGCCACTTACTGGCAGTGTGGCTGCAGGGAAGTGTTAACCTCATTGATCCCCAATTTCCTGCTTGTAAGATGGGAGAACAGTAGTGCCTCCCTCAGAGGTTTGCAGTGAAGGTTAACTATGTTGGTGTGTGCGGGTCTCTATGTGACACCTGTGCAGTGTGCTGTGCCATGACCATCCCACCATCCCGCTGCTCACCCCATCACCCATATGGGTTCTTTCAACTCCAGCCTGCGTACAAAACCCTGTGCTGACCCTTTTCTTCACCATAGCACATGTGAGGAAGCTGAGACACAAAGAAGTAGAGACCCTTGCTCAGGGTCCTGTAGTCAGTAAATGAAGGAGCAACCCTTGAACCCACCACCCTGCCCCCAGCACCCTGCTCTGAGCCTCTTTGTCTCCTGCACCTCTGGGGAGGGTTTTGCTCCTCAGGAGAGTTGAGGCCCTCACAGAGGGTCCGTTCTGCACAGCTCTGCTGGCCTGTTGGGAGGCAGGGAAGGCCGCGTGCTTTCCATTGCTGCCGCCAGAGTTTGGGGCCCTGCTTCTTTCTTTCTAGTTTCTACACATTTGTGCTGTATGGAAGAAAAGTAACCAGGTTTGCAGGGCCCATTATTTAATAGAAAATTAAACAGGCCCATTTTATGCCAGTGACGTTTAATCTGCAGCCTTGATGTTGACAGATTTATCTGCCCAAAATGCATAAGATAATTGGAACACCAAAATCATAAATGTCAGATTAAATCTCATTCCTTTTTGTATTCTTGGAGTGCTCGAACTGAAGTGCTCTATCTGCGTAATAAGGTTGGAAAAAAACAAATGGTGTCCCTTCTCAGTGGCACTTTTTGGTGTTTGCAGATAAACAGAAAGAGAATGAAAAATTACGAGAGTCCCTCTCCGGGAACGTGGCGAGCCTGGAGCGCCTGCAGCAGGAGCATGCCTCTGTGCGGGGAGAAAACGAGAGGCTGCGGAAGGAAGTCGGCGAGAGGGACAGGCTCAACCAGCAGCTGAGCCAGGAGCTGGACAGGTGGGGCCTGGTTCCCTGCCCTGATGGCCCCCGCAGCCAGGCTCTGGGGGTACAGTCCCAGAGTGAGGCACACTAGCCTCTCTCCTAATGTGCAGGGATGGACAGAAGCATGCCATATATCTGGTGGGCATGAAATATGGGGAATGATCATCTAAAGAAGGAGGGGTGGGGCGGGCTGTTGTTCTCCATCTTTCCTTCTCTGTAAAAGTGCCCTTTGGGTGGAGAGCCCCAAGGAGGGTGTGATACTGCAACCCTCTTGGGAAGTTGTTTGGCAGAGGGCACCCGGCCCGAGGCAAACAGGGGGCCTGTTCATCTGGAGGAGAGGGCGTGGTAGGGGCAGAGGGCATGAGGTGGCCAGAATCACATAAGGCCTCCTAGCTGTAGAAGGACTTTGGTTTTTACTCTGAGTGGCATAGGAAGCCACTGGGACATTCCCAGCAGAGGAGTGACATTTTCAAAGGATCCTATTGCTCCCTCTTTTGCCGTTTTCCCCTTAGACTCACATCCCATGTTTTCAGTTGTTCGTTTTGGCTCCCAGCAGTGACCTGCTCCTTCAGAGCTCCCATCACCACCTAGGCTGCCCGCGCTGGGTGGTGATGTAGATAATCCGCTGTCTTTGCGGCAGGCGATCCCGGTGTAGGTCGTAGCTCCGCTCTGAGCTGTGCACCCCTGGGTAGGGGACACAACCTTTTGAACTTAGCTTCCTCTTGTCTCTGAATCGAGGATTACAGAGCACATTCCTTCCAGGGTGTCTGTGAAGACTACAGGAAAGAGGGTAAAGGGCTGGACACGGGGCCCTTGGGAAACAGAGTCTGCAGTGCAGTTCTTAAACCATGCTGTTTTTGTCCTCACTCTTCTGGCCGAGTGGCGTGGGGGATGAGTAAGCTACCTTGGAGTGCAGTTAACCTCTCCTCCCCACGGGGGGCGTTGCAGGGCACAGAAGGAGGTGAAGTGGAGGCAGCAGCTTCTCTCACAGAACCACAAGTTGCTCCAGTCTCTCCGCGTGGAGCTGAAGGTGTATGTGAGGCTGGACGAGGAGCACCAGAGGCTACAGCAAGGTACTGGGCCCTGGGGACCAGGCTCTTTATGTCCCAGAGCTGTGAGCTCACGGGCACAGCCTGTGGCAGGAGCAGCAGGCCGGGGCTCTGGCTCCATGCCCTTTCTCCAGATGTTGTCATCAGACTCTGCGTGACCCTGGGGGTAAACGTGGTTTATTTGAAGCCAGCTCTTTGGCCTACTTCTCTTAAATAGGAGCAGAAAACATGGAAGGACATAGGCTCAGGCATCCTGCCAGCTCAGTTCTAGAGTGTCACTCCCTCGACCTGGCCGTGTGTCCTACAGCAGGTCACCTCACCCTTTGGGCCTGTTCCTGCCTTGGGAAACATGTCTGTTAAAATCCACTGTGTGGAGTTGTAAAAGTTGAGCAGATCATGTGTTAAAGCGCCCTAAAGTACTCCCCGACACACAGTAGACGCTTAAGAAATAACTTTCATTACAGGTTTCCTGCTAGTGTGTGTTTCTTTTTGCCCATTCATTCAGCAAACAGTTACAGTGCCTACCATGTGCTGGACCTTGTTGGCCCTGGTCTTGTCTGTATTTCAAGAGAGATACCAGATCAGAGTGACTCAAGTATAAGGTCTAATGTTTCAGAATCAATTTTGAGGTGTAGTGGGATTTTTTTAAACTAATTTTCCAGATGGTTTCTCCCTATTGAAAGTTTATCTAGAAAAGGGTCATCTCACAGCTTTCATTTCTTCTCAAGTTGCTTCTCTTATTCTTGCTGTTGTGCCTTTTTAATATACTGTGGCTCTTAAAATCATCCCCTTTCATTCTATAATTCCAGCCCAAATAGATTTTATTACTACTAGACATAATTTCAGGGTTTGGTGTGCAATTTGCTAGGCTTTTATGGCCAGAAGTGAAAATTAATTTCCAGCTCTTATTTAGCCTGTGGAATAGCAGCAATTAAGTCAGCCAATATTTTTGTTTTTAAAGTCGAGTTGTTATTTTAAATTGTACCTAGTTCTCAGTAAGGGGGGGGGGGTCGATGGTGGTGTGCGGATTGAAAATGCCATTGAGTTCCTTTGATGGCTGACCCTTTATTTGTGGAAGATGTCAAGACTTCCTTCTGCACATGTCCACAGAGACTGGAGCAGAGGCACCAGAAGGCTGGAAGGGGCAGGAGCTTCTCAGTGACCTGCACGACCTCCTGACAGAGATCCAGGCTCTGCGGGCACAGTTGGAAGGTGGCATCAAAACCAATAGCACCTTACAGAGCAAGCTGGAGGAGCAGCTGGCACAGGGGGAGAAGAAGGCCCAGGAAGGAGACCTCAGTCTGGCTGTCCAAGCCCCGGGTGTCCCCGATTGGACCCTACAGCTAGACAAACACGGTATGGCATCTGCACATCTGTGTATTATGTGTGAACTTCTGAGTGATGCCCCTGCCCACGGAGATGTCCTTCCATAGACAGTAGATTCACTGCACCCTCGGAGCCGGGTGCCTGACCGCACAATGGCATACTCTGGGTGTCTTGGTTCTCTGGAAGTGGAGCTTAGGCTTCCAGCCACCCTGATGGCCTCCAGTCTTCTTCCCTCGTATCTATTTTGTCCTGCCCATGCCACTCGGAGCCTGAGGCCTTTTTAGTCCTCTTGTTACCCTTCAAAGAGAACCCAGCCTCTTACTCTGACTTGCAGTGCCCTCTAGGTCTGGGAAGCCTCCTGGTAGGGAACACCTGGGCCTGTTTTGCATTTGCTGGTGGCCTGTCAGCCCTGGAGAGTTTGTGAGGGGAGTAGAGAGAGGACCAGACAGACATTCCTGCCCCAGCCCAGCCGAACCCAGGACAAACCAGCAAGTGGTCGACTCAGTGCCCCTGACCAGGCCATCCCTTTACTGTGTAGACAAAGGAATTGGAGCTGAGAGTGACATGGCACTATTCATTTCAGCTCTCAGTCCAGAGCTGTTCCTGACCTCACCCGACCTCGAGCCTCAGGTGCCTGGAGATTGTCATTCTGATGCCCATAAGGTGACTGTGCGTGTTCAGTGGAGCGAGGAATATTGACATGCTTTATAGACAAGGATTGTGCAAAAGTTTCTCATCACTTGGATTGAGAATCAAGTCTATTGCCTTTAATTTTGAAAGTTCAGATGTCTTAAGGAGAACCCAGTCAGCTTTAGCACCGTCATTGATTGGTTCATTGATTTCTCCTTGATAAGGATCTTAAAACTTTAACCAAAAAGATGATGTAACAATATAAGGAAGAAAGGTTGGGAAAAGAATTCTTTGTATATTTTTCATCATTTGTTAATCAGAAACAGGCTTGAGTTTATATTGTTCAAATTGTTTTTTGTACCATTTTTCTGTTTGGGGGCTTTATTGTACATTTTGTTTTTGTTTTTTTTAGCAGTGCTGGGGATGGAACCCAGGGCTGTGGTCTTGGATTAAAGTGATTCTCCCCAGGGGCTGACTTCGTGGAGCTGACCTCCTGGCTTCCTGGGCCTGGAAACCACAGTGCACCCTTGGCAGGGATGGAGGAAGCATGGATGGGGAATCCTGAGGCCTAGACACCAACCTTGCTGGGTTATGCTGCCCTGTGGCCTCCTTTTCCGTGAAGTCTGAATTACAGTGCCAGCCTGCCTGTTAGGCTTTTGAGAGCTTAATAGCTTTCCGGATGTAAAAGTGCTTTCCAAGTTATAAAGTGTTGCTCAGATCGTCTTGAGCACCTGTTGATTTTGCCTTCTTACGGTGTTTGAAATGTGTCACCCCCATATTCTGCAGGCCGCTCCCTCTCTCTCAGGTTACTGCAGCAGCCTTCAAGCTTTCTCCTCCAGGACCAAACTGAGATCTCAGCCAGGCGCTGCCCAGCCTGATGCCCCTGAGTAGGTCCCACAGCCCTCCTGGTTCTGGCCTTGCACCCTCCTGTGTCTTCCCGGCATCAGGGCCTTGGCCACAGGACCTGCTTATTTCTCCCCGAATGACAGTTCACATCCTTGTGAGCTTGTAACTGCCTGCTCCCCCCTCTGCCTGGCATTTTTTCCCCTCCTTCCCAGGGATCAGTCACAGTGGTCTTGAAACATAACACAGGTGTCAGCCTTTGGGAAGCCATGCTGGGGTCAGCACCATCCCCCGGCACCCACAGCCCTGTGCTTCCCTCCTCCATCCTGAGCACACCGAGACAAAACTGCCTGTTTCTTGTCTGACAAGAGGGTTTTCCCAGGAAGGGGCTGGGCCCAGTCACTCTTTCTCTGTTGTCCTGACCAGGTCCAGTAGGACTGATGTCCAGGGAGAATTTGAATGAATGCTGTGTTTCTGAACAAATGTGTTTGGATGAGACACTGTACTCTCAGTCACTTCTTCCTCAATTATGGAAGGCAGTGAAACAGTTTATTTCCTTCTCTTGTTTTGCATGTTACAGATGATAACAAATGTCCCCTGGCAAGCAGTAATTCCTCTGACCTTGAGTCCACTTGGGCTGTGATGCCAAAGTCAGGTACAAAATTGAAGTCTGAGTAACTGAAGCAGCATGGGGTGTGACAGTGGTATTTTTAAATTGAATCAGAGGGGGTCCCTGGTCCCAACTAGGTGTTTGTCAGGGGTTTGGGGATCAGCATGTAAGCTCTGAACACAGGGTGCCTACCAAGTAGATTGATGTTCCACTTCTCATTTTGCAGCTTCAGAGACTCCTCCACTCTCTGGAAATGACATAGACTCCTTCTCCTGCATCAGTGGCAGCTCTGTAACCAGCACCCCTTGCCTGCCCCGCATGGCTGCTCGCCTGTGGGCCAGCAGGAGTGGCCGCCACATCCTGGGCCTGATCGAGGACTATGATGCGTTGTGTGAGCAGATCCACCAAGGACAGAGGCTCCTTGCTGAGATGGACATGCAAACCCAAGAGGCTTCCAGCCCCATGGGTCAAGAGCTGAGGACAAAGGTAATCTGGCTGCTAGAGTAGGGGAAGGGAGGTGCTCACTGGGGCAGTGAGTGGGAAGGACTGACTGAGGGTGCTTGGAGGCAAGTGCACAGTTGTCCTCAGTAGGGCTCTAAAAAGAGGGACCAGAAGGTGTCGGCCAAGAAAGGTCAGAGTCAGGTTCTGTGTTGGTGGCTGCGGGAAGACATCTGGTTGAGGTTTGTACCCTGCGTTATTGTGGCTACTTCATAGGGATCTGCTGCTCTGTGCCCATGTCGGCCTGTCTGTCGATTCTCATCCAGTCTTCTGTCCCTCTGTGTGTCCAGCTGTTCATCCCTATGTCCAGCCACCCGGTGTGCTCGGGTTCTGAGGATCCTGTGGAGAAGATGGAGGGCCTTATCCTCTTGAGGCAGACCCCACTTTACTGCACTTACCGTACCATGCTAGCCCACCCCACACCTCCCCAGCTCATACCTCACTGTCTCCCGGTGTCATACCACACTACGCCATATCACAACATGCCATCCCCCAGTGTCACACTACACCAGGCCACATCATCTCCCAGTGTCACGCCACACCACACTATATCACACTGCATCCCCAGTGTCCTACCACACCACATCACACCACGCTGTCCTCCAGTGTCACACCACACCATGCCACATCATCCCCCGGAGTCACGCCACACTCCACTATATCACACTTGTCCCCCAGTGTCATACCATACTACACCATATCACACCACACCATCCCCTGGTGTCACGCCACACCATACTGTACCATACCATACCATGGCACACCATACCCCAGTATCGTGCCACATACCATACTACGCCACACCACGTCATACTGCACCACACCACACGCCACACCACATCATACTGCGCTACACCACACACCATACCACGTCATACTGCGCCACACCACACCATAATTTCTACAACTGCCTCGTGATGAGCTTGCCAGTTTGAGAAACCCTACATCCAACCCAGGATGGTTGGCATCTCCATCTCTTCCCCCATAGCTTTCCTTATGACATTTTATTTCCTCACCACAACCCTGGGAAGCAGTGATGTCATGCCCACTTTAGAGATGCTGAGAAGTAGCTTGGAGAGGTTCACATCTGAACTCAGCTCCCTGTCCTCCAGGGTGCTCGCTTCCCACATTGTAGGACAGCATTAGTCACCAGACTTACCTGTGCAGAAGCTGCTAACTTCTGCCTGCCTGCCCAATGGCATGTTCCCTCTCCTGCCATGTGTCCTACTCTGAGTAGGCTAGGCTTATGCGCCATCCCCGCCTGCTTTCCACAGCCTGTCTCCAGCCCAGGTTCCCTCTGTCCTGGGACCCCCCCAGCCTCTTTTACCTCCCTCTTCCCGCACCCCATCCCGCTGGACTCCTCCCCGACTTGTTGCTTTTTGTCTAGACCCAGCTGTTGGGCATGTGCTTCCTTACTCGCCTCCTCCAAGGCTTGGGGACAGGTACACCCCCACCCGCAAGCTGGACCAGACCCCAAGCTTGGGTCACATTCCTGATCTCTCTTCCTGGGTCTTTACTGGAGATGCCTGAGCCCCCTGCTTCCCCATACCTGATTTGACTTTTTTATTTTGTTGTATTATAAAAATCAATTTTGCCTTTTATGTTCTATTAGACAGATGAACTCTTGGAGAACAGGGAGAGGGGCTGCTTTATTTAACTTTGTCCATCACCTGGTACAAGACCAATGTGCTTGCTGAATATTTGTTGAATAAATTAATAAATATTAATAAGATGCTTTTTCTTTTCTGATTGAAATTTTTATTGCACAAAAGCTAGAAATTATAGAAAAACATAAAAACATTTATTAATACACTACCCCTGAAGGTCAGCACTTACAATTTTAATGTGTACTTTTAGGACATTCAAAAGTTTATCAGACCTACACATAACTCTGAGTTCCACATGTTTCACTAACAAGAGGTTGATGCTTTTTCCATCTCATTCGGTTTTTCCTCACCCTTGACTTTTATTGGCGGCCATATCAGCCCATGTGTGGCTGGACCTTCACTTATTTTCACTTGCACTGTTTGTTGGACATATAATTGGGACTGGCAAGCATCCTCATTCAGAAACAGTTTTTATTATTTTAAATTGTATTTTTGATTAGGTACGAAATGAAGTTACTGGTTCAAAACTTGTACACTTTTTAGCGCTCTTGATAACCATTGCTACATTGCTTCCCAAAGGATCACATCTGTTTGAGTACCCATCTCAGCACCCACACTTGTCTTTGTTGAGTATTTTTATTTATAATGATTTTTTGTTAATTTGATAACTAAAAAAGTATACATGGTTTTATTTTTATATTCATTTCTTGTAAAGACATGCTGTATTTTCTTTTCTTTTTTGTGTTTTTCCATTTCTGATCACATTCTTGTTTTCTCATGCCCTTGACTCTCCCATGTGATTTTCCTTCTGCTGACAGTGAGGGTGAGAGACTTCAAAAGTCCCCAGCACTGTTCCCAGACCAGTGCAGCTGATGCCAAACTGTCCCTGTCGCTGCACTCGCTGTCGGTGTCGTTTGCTCTGGAGCATCTCCGGGGGCTGCAGCATACATGACATTTTATTTCCTCCTCACCACAAAAAACCCGGTGAAGCCCTGCAGCCTGGAGATTTATGCTGCCTGTCAGAGCTTGCTGTCCATGATCTCAGGACCACACGTAACAGCTCTCTCATCCCTGACCCCATGTAGGGTCTGCACTTGGTGCCCCTGAGCAAGTTTGTCTCCAGCGTGAGCACGGCCAGGCTGATCCTAGAAGAGGCCTCGAGGTTGCTGAAGCTCCTTTGGAGAGTCTCACTCCCCACAGATGGCCAGTGTACCCTTCACTGTGGGCAGGTAGGTGGTGACATTCTTCAGAGGTTCAAGGATGCCCCTGGGCCTGTGTCTCAGTCCCTTCCTTAGCCCAGCCCAGGAGCAGCCCCAGTGGCTCTCATTTGGTGCGGGGAAGTGTCAAAGGGAGGAAAGGCACCAGGTTGGTTATGTTTTTGCTGTGTCTGGGCTGCTGACTGACCTCCAGCACCCGAGAGTTCAGCCTGCAGCGGCTGCCCACGTCCAGCACATGAGTGTTGAGTGGGATCCTGTCTACACTCCATATACGAGGAACTGGGGCCCAGGCATTGAGTGCTTCATCAGGGTTACAGAGCTGGTTTGAAACATAAGGACTGAACCCGGAGCTATTCTTTCATTTTGTAGGCATTGAGTTCTGGCTTGTTCTCATGGGCCTGCGGGTTCTCTCTTCATAGTCCCTTTCACATTATATGCCTTTGCCTGCACCCTCCACTCCCATTAATGGCTTTTCTTGATATGAGTAGGCCTTTTTCAAATCTGCCTAACTGCTGGGGAGCAGTTGATCCATGCCAGCAGCCAGGCAGGTGGAGCCCTGCCTGTTTCCATCTGTGGAGTGCATGTGTATTGTGACAGGGTGAGCAGCCAGCCTGGCTCCCAGGGGAACCTCCCTGGGAAAGCCACATGCAGGTAAAGGAGGTTGAGACTCCCAGCTGGGTGGTCTGATGCTGCTTCCCCTTTTTGCCTCTCCTGTGAATGTGCTACAGGCCAGCAGGGAGGCAGAAAGGAAATTTGATTTTCTCTCTGAGTTCCACCCCACTGGCAGCTCTTAGATGGGTTTATCGTGGTTCTGGAGCAGCCCGTGAGTAGCCCTCTTCCTCAAGGTTCCATGAGGAGTCCTGAGGCTTCCTTGTTAGGCTCCTGTGGGGAGTGTGGGCGTGCTGAGCTCAGGGAAGCTCATAAACATTTAATGTTTCATAAATTCATTTTTGCCCACTTCAGCCCATGGGGTGTGGGGTGGAAGGCAAGTGTCAGGGGGATGGTGGGACCCACTGGTCCTAGCCCACAGCCTTTTCTTACTCTGACTGCCTGGATGTCCCATGCTGCCTGCCGACTCCTTCCCACCTTCTCTTAGCTTAAATGTTACCCCTAGGTGAGAGAGGGCTCCCAGTCACTCGGTCATAGCGTCTTCCTCTGTTTCTTCATAGCTTTTGACACAAAAGATAATTACTTGGTTTGTTTTAATGTCTGCCTTCCTTCAGGGGAACATGTGTTTTGTTCATGTTTTTGAATAAATGTATGATTGAATGATTTTTCCCATATAACCAAACTATTATTACCTGTCCCTTATGAATTTTGAAAGCAAACATGTCTGAACCAAACAGTTGACCCACAATGCAGTGGTTTTATCTTTAGCACATAAAAGTAGTGACTACTTGTTAAATAGACAGAATGCAGTTCTTATTATATATATAAGACACACACGTTATAAATGCACACAAAATTGTAGCCGTGTCGATTTTCCCCCACTTCTAGATCAGTCCAGCGACTGGTTGGTGCTCGAGGTGTTTTGTCCTTCGTTTCTCAGATAACTGATTATATTCACTCTAGTGTCACAGAATTTCAGAGTAGGACAAGGACTTAGAGATGCTCCATTGTGGCTGCTGGTTGCTAGTGTACGCAGACCCCTGTGTGGTGTTAAATTGCCTCTCACCACTGTTCTGTCACTGCCTGTGTTTGACACGGTGCCTTTTGCCTGGTGTGAAGCGTGTGTGTAAAGCAGACTTCCACATCTTCAGCAGCCCGGTGGCTTTTGCTCCCTGCTATTTTCTCTGAGAATCATTGATTTGCCTTTTGCATTTACCGTACTGTCCCACTCAGTCCTGTGGACTGCTCTGAAAAGCATGCATCCCAGGCATGAGTTGACCTAGGAAAGTTGTTGGAGCGATATAAATATATAGGCTCATGCTTATGAGTTTTTTAAATGAAGAAAAAGCAATAACAGGCTATGTGTTGGCATGTAAAAGGAGAGATTGGAAGGGCAGAGATCAAGTAGATTTCTCTGAATAGAGCTTGTTTTATACAGTTGACTTCCAAACTATATCAATAGTTAACATAATTATAAATAAAATTTGTCAAAATGGGGAAAATAGAAATTTCTAAAAATTAATGGTATAGAATCAATTAACCTCACTACGGATGGCACTGGAGGCATGGTCACACAAAGAACATTTCAGTGACGGAAACAATGATTTGACCATACATTCCTAGCAGGAATATTTTACAGGCAAGAAAAACTGCCCAAAAGTTTTTTTAAGATATAAACCGTTTTCAGTGGTTAGTAATAGTATTGGTATTAATATTCTGAAACTAATGTATTTCTATTGTAAAACAACTCTTAAGTATCATTAGGAACTAAGATTTTTACTATGAATTAAAAAAATTAAAATCAAAGAAATAAAGACCCTGTAATTGTAAATTTAAATTGTAAGCATCAATATGAACTCATGATGTTTTTCTGTTAAAAAAATTTACTAACTCACTCTGTGTAAAAGGCTGAAGAAATAAAATCTGACCAAGTGCCAGCAAACACCCACAATTTCCAAACTATGATGTCTAAATGCCTTTTCCCCCAAAAGGATCTTGGGCTCCTTGGAAAAATGACTCTATGTCTGGGCAGGAAATACAAGGAGCTCAGAACCTATTTTATCCTAGTAAGAAAGGACAAGATATAGGGAAGAAACCTGAAGATTTACAGTAGCTCTCAAAAGTGTAGGCCCTGGACCTGCAACATCAGCATCACCTGGAAATTTATCAGAAATGCAGATTCTTGGGCCTCACCCAGACCAACTGAATCAGCCACCCTGGGAGTGGCCTCAGTAGTTTATTTCACCAGCCCTTTTAGGAGCTTTGAGAAACCCTGGGTTAAAAACTTAAGAAACTTAAGAAACAACAGATTCAAAATATGGATGTTACTTGAATCCTGAATCAAACCAATTATTAAAAAGTACAATTATGAAGCAATCAGGGAAGTGTGTCTATTAACTCCATATTTGGAGATACCTATTGAGTATCTGTTATTTGAAACTACCAGAAGTCGTTCTGATTTTGGATTTTTTTTTTTTCAGATTTTGAAGTATTTGCAAAGAATTTGTGAGTTGGGCATCCCTAATCTAAAGATCAGAATGCTCAAAATGGGGCTGGGGTTGTGGCTCATCGGTAGAGTGCTCGCCTAGGCACTGGGTTCAATCCTCAACGCCACATAAAAATAAATTAATAAAATAAAGGCATTGTGTCCAACTACAACTAAAAAATATTTTTAAAATGCTCAAAATGCATTGGCTCAAAGAGTTCTGGACTTTGGAGCATTTTGAATTTTGGATTTTGATTTTAAGGATGTTCAACCTGTACTAAAGAATTATGTTCATTGTTTAGGTGAGCTAATGATATTATGGTATTTTAAAATCTTTTTTTCCCAGATATATATATTGAAATATTTTATAGATGATATGATTAGTTTCTAGGATTGGTTTCAAATTAATTTTAGAGAGAGAAGGAGCTTGGGTGTAGGTGAAATAAGTTTGGCCTTGAATTGATAATTGCTAAACTGGACAGGTTCCTGGGGGGAGGGTCATTATCCAATTCCTTCTACTTGCATAAACATTTGAGATGTTCTTCATAAAAAGGAAAGCAAACAAACAAAAACTCTTCCCAGAAGCAAGGCTTCGAGACACTGATGGAAGATTTTGTGGCCTCCTGGGAGGGGAGGGGCTTCCATTTCTGCTCTCGGCTCTGCGATGCTCACTGAGTTGTTCTGTTGATATTGTCAAGAGTGTTCTTACTTGCATAAGCATTTCCTAATTCCTCTGTTATCGATAAATAGATACTATACTTCATTATGCTCTGAAATGTTCAGAATCCTGAAATTTTTTAAATGTTATCCAATTTTATTCATGTATATTGTTGCATTCTGAAAAATTTCTTTAAAATGTTACTGGTTTTCAATAAAGTTATCAGTTATTAACTAAAAAGAATGAAAGGAAAGAGAAAATAAAACAAGAATTGTTCTGTTGAGTGACTGTTGATACTGGGCACTGCATACATCTTATTTTACCCCTTTACCACGACCTTGGGGAGTTAGGTTTTTTGTTTTTTATTTTAAATTTCTAAATTGAGGTATAAGAATCAGATGTTCTTATTTTTTTATTTTATTTTAAAATGTTTTTATTTTTAACTGATTCATAGTAATTGCACATTTATGGGGTAAGTGTGGCATTTCAGTACACATGTGTCATGAATACTGGTCAGATCAGGGTCATTGGCATATCCACCACCTCAGACATTTATCATTTCTTTGTGAGCATTCAAAATCCACTCCATTATCTGGAGTTAGGGTGTTTTTTTTTTTTGTTGTTGTTATTGTTATTGTTTTGTTTTTGGTATTGGGGATTGAACCCAGGGCAATTGACTACTGAGCCACATACCCCCAGCCCTTATCTAGAGACAGGGTCTCACTAAGTTACACAGAGCCTGGTTAAGTTGCTGAGGCTGGCTTTGAACTTTTGATCCTCCTGCCTCAGCCTCCCAAGTCGCTGGGTCTATAGGCATGTGCCACCATGCTTGGCTTGGAGTTAGGTCATCTTGTTCACATTTTCCAGAAGTAGGAGCTGAAACTCCAAGGAGTTAAATGATTTGCTTCAGCATCACACAGCTAGGAAGTGGCAGAGCTGTTTTGGAGCTCTCGCTGTTTTTTCTAAAGTATCTTAATGCTGTAAAAATGAAGGATTGAATCCAGTGGCACAGCAGATGTAAATTATTACAATCTGTGGTTTTAAGTGCTGGACAGGATGTGTACAGGGTGTTAGGAGAGTGCCAATGAAAGGTGACCCTGCCAGTTGGCAGGCATGTCACAGCACCTGCTCTGCATCAGGCAAAGGTGATCGAGGGAAGGAGGAGCTGGTAGTTGACAGGGGATGCAGGCCTGTGACGACCAGTTGCTACAGTCCCCTGGATGTGGGCAGTTATGGGGAGCCTCAGCTCCTGGTGCAGAAGGGGCATCAGGTGAAGCCTCCTGCAGGAAGGGACAGCTGAGCTGACTATAGAAAGAGAAACGGGTTAGCCAGGCCAGGAGTGAAGTGGCCATTCCCGGCTTCCATGGACTCCTCTGAGTCTCATCCTCCTGCAGTGTGATGGGTGGTTCAGGGGTGGTTATTCCGGTGTCACAGGTGTGGAGTTAAGGCTCTGACTGCGGGGCAGTTTGTCCTAGGATGGAGCTCTGACCACAGCCCAAGTCTCTGTGGGCCCTGAATAGCAGGAGAGAACCGTGCAGACCTGATGTCTGAGTTAGGGTCTGTTCTGGAAGCACTGAAGACTCTCTAGCTGACATGATTGGCTAATCTTAAAAGTGGTTAAGGTAGGGAATCAAAAAGTGAAACATACCTTAAACATTTTGGTTTAACTTTAAACAGATAAATGTACTTACATTCACCATTCTTTTGATGGAGGGCCAGGGCCATTTCTTTGACTATGGGGCTGCTGTTTGGAGTTCCACATGTCCTTACTTTCATAAGCCACATCCATAATGTATGTCTGTCACTTCCAATTTCTGTTTCTTTAAGATGAAGAGAAAACTTAGACACTTGTGAAGCAATCTGAATTTAGAATTCTTCTAGACTGTGTTCCTCCCACATCTTGTATAGTTGTTTTACCCACACCTAATTTGCCAGAATGTGTTTTTCAGTGGCTCGCCTTTCTCTGGTCTTTCTGAAGCATATGTTAGTTTTCATAGTCGGTTCTCTCTATCCAGACACAGGCTTCATAGGTTCACTTAATATTTAATTAGATTCTGTAATTCTGTTACAACTACCATAAATAAGTTTGGGAACAAACTAAAGGGACTCTTCATAAGCTGACAACTCAGCATCTCCCCTTGGAGCAGAGGTTTTTGAGTGCAGCCGGGAGAAGCAGGTGCCAGGCTTTCTTGCCACGAGGAAGGGAGCTGGTTAAAGTGTCTCAGTCCCCCTCTGAGCACTGGGGACCCAGTGTGGCCTCCCACCTCTACTCTACTCTGAAAATTCACAGTAGGTCCTCCTAATGGATAACACTCACCAAGAAATAGTTTTGTATTATTTTTTTTCAAGATTTAAACACAAAACTTAAAAATCAGCATAATAGTTTTTATTAAACAACAACAACAAAATTTGAAATCACATCTCCTGGAGACACTCTTAGCATCTTGTGGCCTTTGACCTCCAGCTCTGTGGCTGTGGAAATGGGTTCAGATTTGTGAAACGAGTGCTGTGGAGGCAGAGGGCAGCCTCTGTTGTTCTGGGCTCTTTTTCTCTCTCATTACAATCTTTTATATATATTGATATTTACATCTATAAATAGAGCTCTACAACCTCATTTTAATAGCTGCAGAATTACTTCTTTCTGTGTAAGTACCACAATTTATTTTAGATCCATATTAAACAAATTGGGTTGTTTTTTTTCTGCTACCACTAACAAGGCTGAAGTGGACATCCATGGACAACCAGCAACTTTCTTGTGCTTGTACGGTTGTTGTTTTGGGGGTAAATGCTATAGTGTAGACTTGCTAGTTCAGAGATGGTCATGCACTTACAGTAGATCTTGCCAGGTGTTACCCAAGGGCCTTGCCAATTTGCAGTTTTCCAGTGGTCATAAGACTGCTTTCTTTCATCTGTATTTTATCCAGTTTTGCCAATCTGATGGACAGAGAAAGCCTTCTAGTTTTTATTTAAATATCTCTGTTAGTGACCTTGAGCATCTTTTTATCTGATTTTGCAATTGTTCCTATGTGATTTGACATTTTATATTCTTATTTCAGTTTTCTAATTCCTTTTTTCTTTAGATTGGAGAAATGAAAGCAGAGATCACCAAACTACAGAACAAATTGTTTGAACAAGAAAAGAAGTTGCAGAACAGCATGAGGCTTTTGCAGCAGAGCAAGCACCAGGAAAAAGTCATCTTTGACCAGTGTGAGTGAGCAGTGTGGGTAGCCACTATGCTTGACCACTTCCTGCCCTGGCTTAGCCACACTGGAGCCCAGACCAGTGGTGATGAGGCCCCCTGGTTCGGGTGTCTTTTTAGGCTGCATTCTTCCTGACCTGCCCAGACTCGTCTGTTCACTTCCCATGTCTTGGTGGCAGGGATGGTCCTCTCACTGGGGAGATGGGGGTATGGCACGTGCGGTATGGGAGCACGGAGATGGCAGTGGGATGGGTGTCACTGTCCTGGGAGGTGAGCATCCTGAATAAAATGATCCTTGAGCCAAATCTAAAGGGAGTGAATGTCATCAGGTAGGACAGGGGGTGACATTCCAGGCCAGGAATAGCGGGGATAAAGGCAAGAAACCAGAAGCGTTTCTATTGGTTGCCTACGACAGGTCGAGGTAGGAGGGGCCCGGGGACTGGGCCTTATGTTGTGACAGGCTTGGGGAGGCTGGCACGTACAGCAGAGGGTTGCCCGCCATGCCTGTCAGTGAAGAGGCTTGGTGCTCTACCAGAGAGCAGGACATAACAGCAAGGACGCGGGATCAGAGTAGGTCATGGACTTGAGGAACCCTTCTCCAGGCAGGTGCGGAGCCCCAGGATCAGAGAGCCAGTCAGTCCCAGCTCTGGCCTAGGCACTCACCTGGTCCCTGGTTTAAATCTTCAGCACCGCTCAAGGCAGCGCCCATCAGCACCTCCTGGTGACCCTACCGCGGCTGGGCCCACGCTGCCTGCATGTTGGTTTGCTTGTTTGGGGAGACTCTATCTGGAGCTCCTTCCTCTCCAAGGTGCCTGCCAGCCTTGGATGCTCTGTTAGCAAAGTTCCGTTTTCTCGGGGTCTTCCTGGGAGGCATAGAACATAGATTGTTGCCAAGTGGCAGTTTTCCTGACACTCCCTCGCCCGAAACCTTCTGGAAGTGGACTCTGTGAGATGGGCAACAAGCTCACTTATGAGCAGGCACAGCCCCGGGGACAGGCGCTCCTGCTGGCGGGGAGCTCGGGCGTAACTGGGGCTGGGGGTTACACAGCTTAGCTGTGGGAGCACTGCTGAGTGCCTCAGGGAGCCTGGCCAGGTTCTGGTTCAAGACTGACTGGGCCTTGAGGGATGGCCAGCTGAGATGGCAACAGGGCAGGAACAGGATTTTGGTGATGGCCTTGTGGCCTCATACCACAGCCCAGGAGGCAGGAGAGTAGAGTGTTCTGGAACATGCTCAGGACACACCAGGGCCTTTGAGGAGCCTTGTGGGACAAGCTGAAGGTGCAGTCCCTCAGGTGGGCAGTGGGGAGGCCTCTTGGGGCAAGGCAAGGCTGTCGAGAAGTGGGGATGTTGGGAAAGCTAGTGAGGGGTCGGTCCAGCAGGGTGGTGGATGTCATGAGGTTTTGGCTGGGGTGTTCGTGTCACTCCCTGGGCAGACAGTGCCAGTCATGGCCATGTCAAGGTAGCCATGGGACATTGGGTCAGACTTCTGGGCAGCAAGGGGCCAAAGTGATGCTCCGTGTAGCCCCCGAGGCTGGGAAGCAGAACTCTGCCCTGGCACCCTCTTCCTCTGCAGCCTGGCTGGGATAGCGGCAGAGCACAAGGAGGTTTCAGAAGCAGGCATGAGGTTCACATGAGTCTAGTGACCACGGTAGACAGTGCCACACCCTGTGTCCTGGGTCAGCGAGCAAGGCATTGTGAATGGGCACAGTGCAAAGCTCTGACTTCAGTTTCCTTATCCCCAGGGGAGACAGTAATTCCAAAGGACTCACACTGGCCACACACATAGGCCTGGGTTCTAATCATGCTGCATAGAAAGTACCTCTGTCTCTCATCTGTAGAGGAATGTGAAGCTTCTGATATGAACTGTCCTTAGCACAGTGCGGGGACAGAGCTGCTTCCCTCTCTCAGTTAGTCCAGATGATCTAGGGTACAGAGGTCATTCAGAGCAAGCCTGAGAACATCTCACAGCATCTCCCATCTGATGAGCTGTCGCTGTCTCTGCGTTTTGTTCCAGCCAGTGGGCAGCTGCAGCTGGCCGGGCTGTGCCTCCTCCTGCCCGGGCTCGGCAGCTCGTCCTGACCAGTCAGGCCCTTGGGAATTCCCCAACACTGCCAGCCTCACGGGCCTGCTTCTGGCACCGAAGTGACTAAATGAAGGCTGGTAGCATTCCCTCTTCCTTGCCCACACAGTGACAGGAACAAGCAAGGGCTAGGGCTTATCCCTGCCTGTGTCCTCCCAGGCTCTATAGGGGAAAGTAGGGAAAGGGTGACCTGGTGAGACTTAGGACTCTGCTGTTCACTGGGCACGTGACCTGGAAACACCAGCCTCAGGTCCTCATTTGCCAAGTGAGGACAGTGATCCGGGCTTGTGAGGTGAACCTAGTTGGCCAGGTGGGGCACCCTCAGGTGGGCATCTTCCTTGCCGGCCTCCCCTGAAGTGGGAGGAACCCTGGACTGACTCATGTGACCCTAGGGTGTGAGCCTCTTCTTTGTGCTGGGACAAGGCTTGATTTGGGACACATTCTTTACCACTCTGTCCCTCAGTCTTTTCGTCACAGTGGGGATTTCTGTACCTGGGAACGTGGGTGGTGCTGTTCAGATGTAAGGGCTACATCAAAACTTGGGTGAGGTAACCCTTAGCTCATATGGTGAGTTTTGTTCTCTTGGTATGTTCAGTACTCTTTCAAGATTATTTTTAACCTCAATATCATGATACTTAATCTTTTCTGGGTCACAGGCCCCTTGGTGAATTTTGAGAAAGCTGTGGTCTCTTTCCCCAGAAAAATGCACACATTTATACCCACACATAGACCTGCACGTCACATCCAGGATGTAGGACTCTCCAAAGCACACCCATGGCCCCTGGTTATGAACTTCTGCTTGCAGACTTCAGTGGGGAGTGGAGGTACAGAGAAGCAGTGGCCACTTCTGAAGTTCATTTTGTTCAGTTAAAGCCCACATGGCCTGTCCCTTCCCCTGATGGTGCAGATTGCAAATAGATTTTATTACCCCAGGTAGAATGTTTTGTGAAGCATAAAAAATATTTTCTCTAGGTCCCCACAGATTACCTGCTGTGAACACACCACTGGGAAGCTGGGATGTGGTGTTGGTTTCAGTCTGTTTTAGCTGCAGGTGCTGTTGGTCAAAGGCCCGGATCCAGGGCTTGTGCCTGTGCCACTGGGCACGGGGCTGATTCCCTGACCCTCACCAAGCCTGTTTAGAATAGGTTCCTGGTAAGCTCAGAATCCGCTCAACAGTGCCATCCCTGCTGTCGCTGGAGTTTGTGTTGGACAAGAAAAGATGGAGGAGGAGGTGGTGCTCCTTCAGCTGCTCTCCTGAGAGGTGGACACTCCCGCTCTCTGGAGTTCCAGTTCTGCAGGCCTGATGTCAGTGGGCAGCGTCCTCTGAGATCACCCACCAGCCTGCTCCCATCCAGGCAGAATGCAGCTTCCCTAGGGAGACCATGGGGGCTATTCTGCCATCTGAAAGGTGGGGGTGGCCAAACCGCCCAGGGTTCTCCTCCTAGGCTTAGGAACTTGGCAGTGTGAAACCCCACCTCTGCTTAACTTCCCTCAGCACTTGATGTGGGTCTCCACACATGGGTTTGCTCCCCCTCTGCTTCTCAGAGGGCTCAGGACACCATGAATGCCTGCACCTGCCCTGCACCACGGACCTCCCTGGCCCACAGAGAGGAGCCATCAGGTTGCCTGGGTTACCAGGTGGCCTTGCAGAGCCTTGGTATTGCCCCTAACAATGGCATGGCATGCTCTACCCAGTGCATCCCTGTGAGACTGGCTTTGTGGGGACTGAAAGAGGTGTCAGTGGTCCACCCTTTCTGATGTGTCATTTGTGCTGGGCCCTAAGAGGGGACAGGTAGACCCTTCATGCTTCTCTCTGTTCTGGATTCTTCAGGGTGGTTCATGTGTCAGAGCCTTCAAGTTGGGCTTCTCCTCCCTGAACTGGGCTTTTTCACTGCCCTTCCAGTGTCTGGTCTCTGATCATCTTGTTCTTTGCTTTCTCCCCAGTGCTTGTAACCCACAAGGTCCTTCGGAAGGCCAGAGGAAACCTAGAGGTAACTTCATCCCTTTGTGGTTTTTTTTTTTTTTTTTTACTGAAAGCCACGTAGTGGGTGGGGATGGGTGCAGGACCAGAAATGATCTCTTTTGAAAAATGAATTTGGAATTGGAACCAAGGGACATGTCCTCCATATAGAGTTGTATTTTTCTGCCAACAAAGAATGACAAGTTTCATGCCTATCTTCAGTATTTGCTCTGGTTTTTAGATTTGTTTGCTGTTTTTACCAGGGGAAAAAGCAGCAGTCAGTGACTGGCACATAGTAGGACTTTGTTAAATCTTTCTGGAATGAATGAATGAATACAGTATGATCTCATTGTCACTTTGTTCTGTAAATATTTGCTGATCAAACTAATAAGTCTTAGAAAGCAGTTTCAGGATCACATCTTGCTTTTAACTCGGTCAGGGATCTTACTTCCGAAACCCTCCCCTCGACCTAAAACCCTCCTTTTTTCCCCCTCCCTTTCTCCAGCTGAGGCCCGGGGGTGCCCATCCAGGAACAGCCAGTCCCAACAGACCTGGCTCCTGAGGACTTGAAGCTAATAAAGCTTGTGGCCCCGAGATCACGCGTCTCTGTTCCAGCTGAGGCTTCTGGTGGCTGAGGGAGAAAGGGGAGAACTGGCAGCCTGGCCCAAGGAAGTCTCTTTTCCTCCGTGTTCTCCATCCACACGTGACTCGTGGTTGTGGCCACAGAGGTTCAGGTGCTCTGCGGTGAGGCGTGGAAAGGCCTTGAGCTCTGGGAGGCTGCGTGGGTCTGGGGCAGAGGGATGGCGCCGAGGCTGCATGCGTGGCTGGGCTCCACGTTTGTCCTGGGTGACCTTGGCTCTCCCTGGCTCTGCAGTTTGAAGAATCTCCTTAAATGATTCATTGCATTCCAAGGGGATGATTCAGTCACTTTGTGTGGAGCCTCAGAGCCTGGGTCCCAAACTCCCCCGTGGGACAGGCCAGGTCTCAGGAGTCACTTGATCCTCAGATCTCGCCCTGAGCCTGCTGCTGAGCCCTCGCAGGTTTCCAGAGAGGAGGACTCCAAGCAGCGTGGCCTTGGGCTGTGCCTGCACCCTACAGGTGCTCGGCCTCTCACAGTCACCTGGAGAACAGCCCTCTCAGTGGTGCTGTCTGACTTAGGAAGGAGCAGGGTAAGGCTGGGACTTGGCATTTGCACTGTCCCGATGATGACAGTCCACCCAGTGTCCTCATTGGTGCCTGGGGTACTTGCTTGCTGCAGCCTTGTTATTAACCCTGCTTATCCTTAACCTTTGCCCTGAATGTCACAGTGTCCCTGAGAAGTAAACAAAGCAGGGCTGAAGCTGGCCCAGGGACCTCCTGGAGACAGGGCAGACTTGGCCCCCAGCTGTGCTTTGACATGATTCTCTTGGCTTTGCTCTTCCTGTCTCACAGTCCTGTGCCCATAGTCAGGTGTCACAAAGTGCCCAGCTGGGCAGATGGGCTTCTTGTAGGAGGCTAGGCAGGGAGCACTTGGAACCCTGACTCAGTGTCCCTCACTACCTCTGCTTCTGCCATGTTCTGTGCATTTGAGTGACCTTTGGGATGACCCTGCATTTTGCTTTCCTTCTGAAGTCACTCATGCAGACCTTCTGCCTCTAGCTGTGCCCTCCCCTGCACCCAGCTCCCGGCTGCGTCATCCCCCTCTTGTCCTAACCTCTTAGAGTTGTTCCCTATCTCTGGTCCTCTGCCTCTTCTCCTGTCCCTGGGCTCCTCTCTAGTATTTAATTCCTTTTCCATCCAGTTTGTTGGTCTTGCGCCCCACCCCCAGACTCCTTCTCTGCCCTACAGCAGCTGAGGTGCTGAGAAAACAGGGCATCTGATCATGATGCTCCCCCACTCGATAGCCACCGGTGTCTTCCCGCCACCTTTGGTCCAAGCCCAGGTCCCTGACAGGGTTCATGGGGGCCCGTGTCTGGCCCCTCCTGGTGCCCCTGGCTCCTGTCATTCCACTTCCTTGCATTCTGGTCGGGTCCAGGCGAACTGAACCATCTCCAGCTCACTGGTGGGGCCTTGCTGCCCTGCCCTACCCAGCCCAACCAGGGTGCTGACTCTTTGAAGTGCCCCTCCCACCCTTTCTCTTTCCAGCTAGCTTTGAGTGGTCTTTCAGAAATCTTTCCCCCATTGAGCCTCTCCCGATCCTTGATGCTCTGTGCTGCATCCCTCTCTGCTCCTGCTGCCCCCAGAGCCGTCACTCCCTGTTTGGGGACCTCCCTGAGCTCCTGGAGAGCGTCTTGGCAGGCCTGGTACACAGAGCCGAGAGATGGGACCAGTTCCTGGGAGAGACCTGATCCGAGGAGCCCGTCTTCAGGTTGCTGGGAGACAGTACTAACTCCTGTGCAGCCAAGGGCAGCTTCAGGCACCCCACAGTTCCTCCCTGGAGCCCCCAGAGCCATGTGGAGGAAGTGATGGTGGTCAGGGTCACCCTGTCTTCACAGATCAGCCAAGAGCCTTAGCTTATGGTTAATGGAGCCAGGACTTGATCCCTCTTGATCCCTCCTGTCCTTCCAGACCCCAGACTGGCTTCTCTGCCACCCATACACCTGCCCAGATGCAGGGATGCTCAGCTGGAGGCAGAGGGAGCAGAAGCCAGGTGAGCCCAGGAGGGGGCCTTACCCCAGGTACCCTGGACAGGTAGTCGGGAAGGTCCCTTCCCGCAGGGGTTCCTCCTCTGCACAGCCACCCCTCATTTTCACATTTGCCTGGGTGTGAAAACTCAGATTTAGGCATAATGTCAAATGGAGTTCCTTTTCCAAGAAATCATACCATGGTCTTTCCAAACAGAAGCTTGGTCAACAGGAGGCCTGGGTCCAGGCCCCAGCCTCCACACCTGTCAGATGGGGCTTACCCTTCTGCCCAGTCCTGATGGCAGAGTTGATGAGAGCCTCAAAAATTTAGAAATAGCTGAAAAATAACATTCTTGTCAAAAATCAGTGGCTCTTCAGTGTCTCTTCTGTGGCTGGTCTCAAGCAAGTTTTTTTTTTTTAATATTTAATTGATTTTATTCTTTAAATACATGACAGTGGAATGCATTACAATTCTTATTACACATATAGAGCACAATTTTTCATATCTCTGGTTGTATATAAAGTATGTTCACACCAATTTATGTCTTCATACATGTACTTTGGATAATGATATCACATTCCACCATCATTGCTAACCCCCTGTTCCCTCCCTTCCCCTCCCACCCCTCTGCCCTATCTAGAGTTTGTCTATTCCTCCCATGCTCCCCCTCCCTACCCCATTATGGGTCAGTCACCTTGTATCAGAGAAAATATTCGGCATTTGTTTTTTTTGGAATTGGCTAACTTCACTTAGCATTATCTTCTCCAACGCCATCCATTTACCTGCAAATGCCATGATTTTATTCTCTTTTATTGCTGAGTAATATTCCATTGTGTATATATGTCACATTTTTTTTTTAATCCATCCATCTACTCATGGGTATCTAGGTTGGTTCCACAGTTTAGCTATTGTGGATTATGAAAAAAATGTTCATCATCTCTAGCAATTAGAGAAATGCAAATTAAAACTACTCTAAGATACCATCTCACTCCAGTCAGAATGGCAGTTATTATGAAGACAAACAACAATAAGTGTTGGTGAGGATGCAGGGAAAAAGGCACACTCATACATTGCTGGTGGGACTGAAATTTGGTGCAGCCAATATGGAAAGCAGTATGGAGATTCCTTGGAAAACTGGGAATGGAACCACCATTTGACCCAGCTATCCCTCTCCTCGGTCTATACCCAAAGGACTTAAAAACATCATACTACAGGGACACACTCAAGCAAGTTTTTAAAGTTTTATTTGAAGTTCCTGTGTCAGGTGTGCACAGATGCAGTGTGTATGTGAGTGGTCAGAGGTGGGGGTGCATTGGAGTGGTTAGCCCAGGCTAGGCTTGACGTCAGACCAGGATTTGCCCATGGGGGAACAGAACCACCTTCCCTGGTTTGTGCACAGTCCGTGGACCCTGAGGTTGGTCATTGGCAAGGGCATGAACTGGGGGTGCTCTGAAAAAGGAACCTCTGGTACATCCAAGCCTGTGTGGCTGCGAGTCCCAGGGTGCCTGGGAGCAAGGCCCGAAGAGCAGGCCTGTGAGAGCCCAGCAGCCCTTCTCTTTAGGCCACCACAGGTTATCAGGACATGGTAATCCAAACAAACGTGGTTTTATTCCTTAGCTTAAAGAAAGTCCCAGCCTTGTCCTAGGGAAGGCCCACCCTTCTCTAGGAGGTAGAGGAGCAGACAGTTTGTTTGGGCTGGATTAGGGCCAAGAACAAACTCTGCAGATGGGGCAATTTGGACCTTGGGAAAAGCTCCGTTGTCCCTGGTGAGTTAATTTCACCAGCAGCTGAATTCAGGAGGCTCCTAAGCAGCAATCAGAAAATGCGTCAATTTCACATCCTCTGTGAGATCAATTACCACGTGTGCAGCGCACCTGAGACAAACAGCTGCAGGGGCTAAATATATCCAGGAGAGGAGAGGCCACGCCTCCGCTCAGCCTGCCTTGGGAGGGGTGCTTTGAACCTCACTTCTGAAGCCCACCTGCCTGCTTCGCTGCCGTGAGGCACAGGTAAGCTCCTGGACCACCAGGCAGTGGCAGCCTGGATAGCAGGAGCCACCTCCTCCTGTCCTCCATTTTTTTAGTCTGCACCCCCTACCCATTTCACAGAAAAGGAAACTGAGTCACTCAGAATCTGTTCTCTGAATTTTCCTGCCCTGCTTACAGACAGATGGTATCCTCACGTGCCCTTTCCCACTCAGTGTCTCTGGATGACCAGAGCAGGAACCCAGAGCCCCACAGTTGAATTCCTCCACACAGTAGCCCGGGAACTGCTTGTAAATGGCCTGTGGGTGGAGAAGGAGTGATCTTGTTAATACAAGTTCTCAGCATCACCTCGGCCCGGAAACCTGCCTGGGGGATCCTGGCCCTGCCAAATGGCCTCTGCGATCTTGGCCATATTTTATGTCTAACTCAAAAATCCAATTATCAAGATTACTCATCCCGTCTCCTGAGGAGGCCAGGCTCTGCCTCAGGGCCAGGCTGTTTACCTTTGGCCGCAGTGGGGCCTTCCCAGCTAGCTTCGCTGCTTGCCAGGGGGCTGGCTGTGGGCAGATCCGGAGACTCAGGGGTCTTGTCCTGGGCCTAAGGAGGTGCCTGAAAAGACTAAGCCTCAGTTTCCTCATCTGCAAGGTCACGAGATGGGGAAAGCTAAAGAGACAGAGTGGCCCCAGGTGAGGCCCAAACGTCAGCCCAGGCCTGGGGGTTTGTTCCTGAGGGTCCTGCATTCAGCCAGTACCTCCTCCTCCCTTACCCTCTGCGTCCTGTCTGACATCAGTGCCCCTTCACCTCCCAAAGCCATTGCTTCATCCAGGTGGCCATCAGTTCCCACCTGGACCACTTACTGCAGTAGTAAGACTTCCCCACTTGCACCCCTACCCTCTCCAGATGTGCCCCAGGCCACAGCTAGAGCAGATCTGCAGTGCAGAGCCCCCACTTACCTGGTGCCAAGTGTGGAACGCTTCCTCACCTGGAGTGGTGCAGGCCCCCAGGCCCAGCTGCTGCCCTCTGCTTTCCCCTCAGGCACAGGGCGGCTGCATGCTGCCCCTGCCCGGCACCTCCCTGGCACCTCTCACCTGGCTTCTCGAGCTGGTGGCTCCTAGTTATGTTCCAGAGCCCAGTCCTTAGTCTCCCCAGTCAGAAGCGGCAGTGATGCTGATGTTCGGTGCCTGCTGAATCTGCCTCACTGGCATTTGGCTACCATGTGACTTTGAATCGTGCATTTGAGGAGGATTTGGGCCGGTTACGCCTCTTCCTGTCACTAGCCTGAAGTTCTGGAAGGCCCCAGACCTGGTGTGACTAGCTCACCCCCACCCCCCAGACCTGGTGCCTGGCCCAGGGCCAGCAAATATGCTCACTCACCTGTGTTCTTAGCCGCTCCCACCCCCAGAAGAGCTGGAGCTGGTGGGCAAGAGACAAATAATGGTGCTAAGCGGGACACTTGTCCTGGGGTCCCATGAGCAGGTAGTATTGGGAATATTACCACGTGGTCTTCCTGCCGGCTCTGTGGGGATGGTACTGCCTTTTTCAGATGAAAGAAGCACAGAGCCACCTACCTGCCCAATGTCACAGGGCCAGAGGCTGGGAGCTGCATTCCAGCGGAGCCTGCGGGTGCCCCCTGTCTGCCTTGGGCTCGAGGGCTGAGCTGCACAGATGTACCGATCGCACTTGCAGATCGTCTACTTCGGCATCTGCCCGCTCAGAGGCTCCTGCCAGGAACCCAAAGCCCAGCCCTGGCCCTGGCTTGGCCCATTTCTGCCCCTCTAACTCACTATCTTCAGCCTCTCTGTCCTTAGCTTCCCTGTCCATTGGCAGTGTCCATGTTGACCCATCGCCTGACCCAGAGGCAGCCCTGGGCATGGCAGGCCCCTCCCCTGGATCACTGTTGCCGGCTGCAGTGGTCCCCAGCACCTTCCCTCAAGATCTGTCACCAGCATCCTGTTAGCTGGCGTTCACACTGGAGCTTAATTACATGTTTGCAGGCTTAAAAAGACACTATTTGTATTAATGCCACTTTCTCCTCAACAGAACAATGTGTGGTCCCAGTTCAGTTGGGGCAGTGGATGACAGGGCTGGCAGGCACAGGGAAACAGAAGAACAAGGTCATCCCAGACTCCTTGTCCTCAGCTGAAATGACATTGGGGTCAGAGACCAAAGACATAAGTGACCAGGCCACAGAGCTCCCTGGGAGTGGGGCCAATGGCTGGGAGCCCAGCTAGAACCCGTGTGTGAGAGAAGCCTGAGGGGGTGGGGGGGTACTCAGCATAGGAAGGAATTTGAAGACCTCGGTGTCAAGTTCATTTCCAGCACCTACCTTCTCCCAAGTGCCAGGTCCAGTGTGTGCCCTGAGGCTCCTCGTTGGGTGTCGGGGAGCCAGACGGGGAGGCAGGCCCTCAGTTAACTGGCTCTATCATGATAAATGATCACCAGGGCCCTCAGGCACCCAGAAAAGGGATTCCTAACTGGCCTTGGAGGTGACAGGGAAGGTGCCCTATGATGACCCTAGGTGAGTGGAAAAGGCCACCTGGGGAGAGCAGGTGAAGAGGAGGGGGTGCTAGGTCGAGGAAAGAGCTGAGAAAGGCCTGCGCTCACTGCCGTGGATCTGGCTGGGGTTTAGAATCCACTCGGTCATCCTGGCAGGACCTCAGGTGCCACCGTGGGGCAAGAGGACTTCATCCAGGAGCAGCAGGGAAGAGACTAGAAATGTGGTGTTTGGGCAAGGGGGCTGAGTGGGTGCTGTGAGGGTCAGGCCCACCCGTCCTCACCTGGGCAGGACTGGAAATGAGGGTGCTCTGGGTTCAAGACACCTCGGAGGACATGGGCCTGTTTACCCCCTGGGATGGGGCCGAGGATCAGGATGGGGTCGGCTGCTGGCTTGTGGCTCAGTAGTGGTGTGACTGCATTCACGGGGAGAGAGCAGTAGAGATGGTGACCAAGCCAAGATCATCTTCGTGGTGGGCAGAACAGAAGGCGGAAGGTGGAAGAGGCCCTCCAGGGGGCGGGGCCGTCTGTGCAAAGGCTGCAGGGGGGCCACGATGGTGAGCTGCGGCTCACCTGAGGTGAGCCGGGTCAACCTGAGGTTGGGGCAAAGAGTCAGCATTCATTGTCTTTTGGGAGGTCGTGGGAAGCCAGCGGCACTTGTGTCTGGGAGGTGGAGCAAGGCCAGGGAGGAGGCAGACAGGCTGGCTGGGTGAAGGACTCATGGTCCCCAAGGCGGCTGAGCTGGTGGCCATGGGCCTACTGGTGTCTCAGTGGCTGCAGGGAGGCTGCCAGCCAGAGGAAGCAGCCTCCACTCCCACAGCAATGGGAACAGCAGCCTGGACGTGGCCTTCAGGGGACTTGCCTTGTCAGGACTCCTGCTAAGATAC